TAATTTTTTTTTTTTTTTTTTAAGATGGGAGTTTCACTGAAGTCCCCTGAGCCTCTGAACGGAGCTGTTTTCTGTACGCAAAACTGGTTTGGGGGGAAATAGAGTCCCTTACTAGTCTGGCAGGAGCTGCCTCTGCCAGAAGCTTGTGTCTCTTCTAATAACTTTACTTTTAATGCTTATTAAGATAGGAAGATAGAGCTGTCTTTGCCTGTTACCTCACTGTATGCCTCTCTCCCTTGGAGGTCAGGTCTGTTTGGCTGACTTGCACTGATCTGAGCCACCCCATTTCCAGCGCTGCGTGGCTCTTCTGCTTTCCTGGCTTCGGGGGGCTGCCATGCTTCGAGGGGGTGAGCTCAGCTCCTAACCCCTGCTCCTTTGCATGCTTTGCGTGAGCTTTAAAACCTTCCCAGTTTGTGTGCTCCTGCAAGAGCTCAGTGGAAGTGAACTGTATGGAAATCCCCTCTCTTGGGCTTGGTGGTTTAGAGAGCTTTGCATCCTTGCACTGGAAAGGCCCCGTTGGATTCGGTGCTCTTTGGTCCGTGATGCAGGAAAGCATGAGGGCCAGGGTGGTGGCTTTGCAAGAATGATCTTTAATAACCAGGCTCTGGGGCTGGCAGCTGCTCCTGTCGTCCAGGAGCCCTTTCTTGTTAAGCTGATCTAGATGTGCATTGTGGTGATGTAAGGTGACATCTGCCCGTGACAGCACAGGTCTGGGAAAGATGTTTTGTGTAGTATTGCTCACTAGGTGATCCGTACAACTGTTCCCTAGTACAGAGCCCCTGACAAAAGCCCCAGGAGCCACTTGCATTTATCTGTCCCTGCAGGCTGCAAAGAGTTAACAGGTCTGCACCTCTGCCCCCTCTTCTGCCACCTCCCAGGCTGGCCCAGCTCCATGTGCTTTTGTCTGGGAAAGGTTGACTTTCACCTTGCTCCTGTTTACTCCTAGACTTGTGTACACAGTGCTGGGGAGGGAGACACAGCAGCGAGCGCTGGGTCTCCACGCCAAAGTTACAAACTTGATAAAGAGCTCCCCTGCGCTTTGGATGCCCGAGCCTCTGCAGGGCTGACTCCCTTTGCAGCTTGCTGGCTGTGACCCTTCAAAGAAGCTTTCAATGAACTGTAGTGTGTTTTACAGCTGGCCCTTCCTTGTCTCTGATAAAAGCTAATTCCATGTCTGGAAAACTCTGTCTCTGCCCCAAACATCGTTTGGGTTTTTTCTGAAAGGGTTTGCAAAGGCTGTGGTGAGGAAGTGTGGGCTAGGGTGGGTGAGCTGCTTGGGTTTGTTATTTCCCAGAACTAGCCAGCAGCTGGGGAAATTCACGCCTTGGACAGAAACTTTGCTTGCTGCCTCAATAAATAGAGGTTCTTGCTTTGAGAAGAGGCTAGTGGTATGCTGGGGCTGTAAGTGAAGGCCCCAGGAGCACAAAATGGAGTGGGGTGGGCTAGGGATGGAGCACAGCAGGGCTGCAAGCCTTTGCCTGGGGTGCCAGGGGTGTGATTCCTGTGCCTGAACTGAGCAAACAGTGTCTGGCTTCATCCAGTAGTGCAGTCTGTCTCAGGCTTGGATATGAGACCTCCATGCCCACCTCTTCCAGGAATGACGCTCATAGTTCACGTGCCTGACGTGCTGGTTGTCTGGCAGGGAATAAACTTTTTTTTTTTTTGCCACTGGCAGGCAGGAAAAGCTTCTGCTCCCCCGCATGCTGATTAATCCCCCTTGGTGCTTGCTGGGGATAAAAGCTGCTTAACATGAGGAAGAAATCCTGGAACTAGACTCCTGCAGAAGAGGTTGATTTCTGTACAGACCCCTCTTAGAGAAGAGCATATTAATAGTAGGGCTTGACTTCGGCTGCCGGGGCGAGGTGGGGCTGCGCCGCCGCCCAGTCCGACTCTCCCAGCAAGTCCCTGGCCCGACTCCAGTGCTGGGATAACAGGTGGTGGAAAGCAGACTCCGAGCAGCGCCAGTGCCCTTCTCCAGCTGGCAGTTGCAGAAGGTGTTAAGCTGAATGTGGCGAGAGATGACTTGGCAAGGGCTGGCCGTTGTCCTGCGGCAGTCTCCTAGCTTTTTCCTCTTGGCTGCAGCCTGCCAGCCGAGAGGAAGCACGGGCGCTTTCCGTGGTGCCTCTTCATCTGGTAGCAGAGCTGTAGGGAGGACTGAATCCTCTTGGAAAGGGATGCACTTTTTAAGCAATTCTCCAGGGCGCTCTTTATGTGGCACTTGGGAAGCCCGCAGCCCTTGCTTTTAAGTCTGTGAAAGTGCCTGCGTGCCCTCTCAAAGGTGCGTATGCGAGGAATGTGCCTGCTCCAGACCTGCCCTGCGAGCAAGGCACTCCAGTGTTAACTCTTCCCGGGCTGCCCGTGCCCCAGCTCCCAGGAGGAGCCTGCTCCCTAGGAGAGCATGTCTTGAAACCTGGAGGGTAAGTATGGAGGTGCCCAGCAGCCCTCTAACTTCCCTGACAGATGAATCTGTAAAATGAGGCTCACTGCCCACAAGAAAAGTTTCCTGTACGGTTTGAGAAGCTCTTGCAGCTTCCAGGAACTTCCCTGTCCTTGCTCAAGAGGATGATGAAGAGTGAGTTCAGGGAACGTTCCCATATAATCTTATTTACGCTTGTGAGTCAGTAATTTCCTTGTTATGTCCTCTGGCTTGTAAACACTGTCTGTCCTGATTTAAATAGGGTTTTGTGATAGCCAAACCTGGTGCGTTCCACAGTATGTACTAATCACCGTGGCTGTCTGCCACCGCTTTGCTCACGGCTGGGCTGATCTGATAAGGCCAGCCTGCTGTCCAGCTACTCAGTGGCCTAAATGCAGTTTTTCTTGAGCTGCCCTCGTTAGGACATTAGCTGGCCATGATTCATAATGAAGTACGGCGTGAGTTGGCACAGGGGTGCGGCTCAGTGGAGCGCTCTTGCCAACATTGATCTACCCTGGCACGGGAGCTGGGTTATACGGATCTGCAGTAAACGTGGTCCCCAGCCCTGGTGCCCTAGCTCGGGCAGACAGGAATCAGGCTCTTCCTGCCCCTTGACGAAATGGCCAGAAGCTCTCATGGGAACAGCTACTGTATGCTGGCAGCAGTTTCCATTGCAGGTCTGGCTTTGGCTGGGTTTCACATATCTTGACATGAATTTGCCTTGGAGCAAGTGATCCATAACGTTAGGAATGCCTGGTTCCAGGCTGGGAGGGGATTTCTTCCCAGCTGGCCTTCCTCCCCAGCCCCCTTCCCATCACGTAGTGCCAGGCTCGGGCAGAGTGGAGACAGGGGGTCTAGGAGGAGAGCTGGCCTCAGCACTTCATGCCCTCTAGGCTGTTCATTTTGTTATCCTCCAGCAGAGTTGCTGGGGAAACCAAAGATGCCTCAATAAGCTAATGAAAAGCACATCTAGTAGCCACTGCTCCTTATGCAAAATGAGAAGCATCTTGTCCTGACCACAAGGCCTTGTTTGTGGCAAAACCAGTATGCTAATGGGCAGGGAAATCTGGGCTGGAAGCAGGGCTGGGGCCGTGGGCAGAGGAAGCTGACACATAGCTTGTGGCTGATTGTTGGCCTTCACTTGTGAGATCGATAGTGGATGTGATTTGTCAGTTGGTGTCACCGCTGGGCTGTAGGATGGGGCACACCTGGCCGGCCGAGCAGGAAGGCTGATCCCGGCTAATCCCAGCTGCTCAGGGTCTCGCTGCTGCCCTGATGAAGCAGCAAGCGCTGGGGCTTGGGTGGTGTCACCCAGCTCTAGCTGTCCCTGCAAGTCTCTGATCTTCACCCCCTGTGAGGCTGTAGGTCATGGTAAACCTGTACATTAAGAAGAGGCCTCAGATGTGCAGGACTGTGGAGGGTGTTAAAAATGCTCTCCTGGGTAGTTAAACCTTCAGGACTGGAGCCCAAGTTCTAGGAGACACCCAGGAAACATGTTCACAGTCTTTCTCTGGGGACAGCATGAAAAAGTGTTGACAGCTTAGCCCCTAGCTATGGTACCCATCCATCTGTGTCGTGCTTCTCGCCATAGGGGAATAGGTCGAGTCCCCCATCACAGCAATGACTTCATGGCTGTGGAAGCATCTGGAGCTGCTGGAATCTGTGGGCTGGTGTTGAGCAACCCAAGAGCTCATACCTGCGGTACCCTCACTGGGGCTGGCCCCAGGGCTGTGGGGCGAGGGGAAATAGTTTTGGGGAAATTGCATAACCTTGGTGAGGGCAGGAGGTTTGGCCTTGTGGCTCCTCAAAGGTCCAAGCGCAAATGAGCTCTGTGTGTAAATTGCCATTGTGGCCAAACAGCTGATTCTCTGGGAGGCTCTCCTGCCGTTTTGCTAACGTGTGTCTGTAACTGTAGTCATCGAGCCATAGGATTGTGGACTTGATTTTACAGGCTTGTTTGTTTACGTGTGTTTTAAGAGGTGAGGCAGGGGAAGCTCTTCCTTCAGGCAAGTCATTATTGACAGCAAGTGCTCTTGAATGTCACAGTATATTGCACTGCAATTCCGCTGAACTGACAGACCAGTTTTTAACCCTTGGGTGATAAAATAGGTTTGTTCTCAATACAAGAAGCAATGAATTGCCTTGGCGTGAGGCTTCAGTGCTATGCAAAAAACTGACCTATAGGTGCCAGGCTTTTTCTCTGGGAATAGCAAGTCCTTCCAAATCCCCCCTTATCACAAACTGAAGGTATTGCTTTTCAAAATGCTTTTGCTACAAACTCCTGACCAAGATCCTGTTGTGTTATTTTCACTCTGTGGGTTCAAGTGAACCTCCTGAATCTGTAGCCCTCAGGAAATTCCCCTCCCAGGCTGCCTTTCACTTCTGTTCTGAGAAACTCTAGGGGAATTCAGCTATTTCCAGGCTAATGAAGATAATGCTTTTGGTGGAGAGAAAGTTCAGCATTTAATGTGCTTCTAAAGGAAGTGATGTGCTCGGCACAGGCTCTGAACTCCTGACCTTTAGTGAAATGCTTCTGAGGAGTTGCCTGATACTCAACACTTCTCCACCTCCATTTACAGGTGAGAGAAACCGAGACCATGGATGCCAGATGGCTTGACTACCCTGCCTCCGGAGACTTGCCAGATGATGAAGACATTGGTGAATTCAGGCCTCACTTAACTTCTGATGGGTTAGATATAGATGAGGCATCTGGGTCTGGAGGTAAGTGGGGAAGGGGGGAAATGGATCTCCCTCAGTTGATGCTGTGAAATTTCTTCCAGCACCAGCCCATGAGTGATGGGCTGAGCGCACAGCCAGAGCTCCAGAGGGAACTACAGTGTCAGGTGGAGATGAGAAAGCCACATGAGTTGTAGTTACTCACAGATGAGAACAGTGAAAGTGGTTGTACCATGATGTTGAATCACTCTGGGAGGACAGATGGAGTCCAGCCAAGCTTGTCTTACTGCAAGTGAAAAGGCATTGCACTGGCTGGATCTCTTGCCTGTTGAACTCCAAAGAACTTCTGAGAGACTTAAAATAAAAAAAAAAAAAAATCTATTGTTGAGGCAGTGTTAAAAGGCTTAAGGTTAGTATCTTAGCTGAGGTCAAACAAGGTAAAGGACTAACTGGTGTTCAAGTGAACTCTCGGTGACATGCAAAACTCCCTGCCCAAACCAGTTTCTGTAGCTCCGTGTCCCCTTTGTGTGAACATTTGTTCTCTAAAAGGGAAAGAACAAGTGCTGAAATAGGTGCCTGACATGTTCGGGCAGATCTGGTAACTAGAGGGTTGGCAAACTATCCTTTAGGGATGGGTGGTTGAGAGCGTTGCCCTCCACTGGCATTAGCTTAGCAAGCTATAGCAGACCTGCTTTGCAGGGCAACTCCTGATAATCTGCAGCAGGGGCCAATGGATCCAGCTGAAGACCCCTCCCGTGCAAGAGGTGTTGGTCTTAAGATTACATCTCATGGTCTTGTGCAATCAAAGCCATTAAATGGCGAAAGTACTAGTAGATAAGAGGGAATTGTAGTCAGTGGAGAACAGTCCTGGTTTGTCTGCAGTTGCTGGTATTGCGGGAAGTGTCTGAATTCTGGGAAAATGGCATATAATGAGAGGAAAACCTAGTGTCCTCTTCTGTTTTATTTTTAACTTTTTTTTTCCCCCCCTCCCTCTGCAGACTACTCAGACTCTGAAGATGCCATATATCTCACCACCATGGATACTCCTGTGGTAGGTATTGCCTCTGTATGTTTTAAGCAACACATAGCTACTCTGGTTTGTCTGTGAAGCTTTCTGAATACCCTTCCCCCTGTAAGACATGGCATCGAGATGAATCTACCTGCACGAGCAGGAACAGCGTGCTCGTAATGCACTAAGCAAACTTTCTTTTCCCTGCACACCCTCCTGCTTTCAATTGTAGGTAGGCTGGGTGCTGCTTACTGACGGGTGTGGTTTGTCTATATTCTGTAGATGTCTGACAACTATATCCCTGGAGATACTGAGAGAAAGATAGAAGATGAGAAGAAAAACACAATGGTGGACAACGAAATCATTCCAGACAAAGCTGTACCTGTCGAAGAGAACCTGTCCAACAAGGTCTCCATGGCAAGCACAGCCAACAGCAGCATCTTTGAAAGAACAGAAGTCCTTACAGGTAATACTCCACCTTGTCCTGATAAATCATTAATACTGTAAATCAAAATGGTTTCTATTGTTCCCTGTTTCTCTGGGGAGCGGTCCCCTGCTGACAACGGGGGTGAGATGCATTACCTCTGTGACTACCTGCAGCAGGGTCACTTCTGCCTTCTAGTCCTTAAAAACAGCCGAAGAGCCTACTGCTTGCCTTGCTGGGGTAAACAGCTTGTTTTTGAGCCTGCCAGCTGACTGTTGGCTTAAGCGCCACACAAGTCATGTGGCAGCTGTTCTGCACCCACATACTACCTCAACAAGAGGTGTATCTAGCCATAAATCAATGACATCATAGACTTTCATATCAAATGCAGGTGTTTTCCTTCTAACCTCTGCCCAAGTCCTGCCTTTCCTGAGCCTTGCCAGGAACCAAACAACCCCTCTAAGGGATTTGAACACCTAGTGAACTGTTATGAATCTAAGTACCTCTGTCTAGAGGAAAACCAAGCGTCTGGCTTCCCCTCAGCACGTGGGACAGATCTGTCTCAAGGCACGCTTCATAAAGCACTTGGCCTGATGGTCCGAGTACAAACCTCGGCACATCTTGCTGATCTGCAGCCATCCTCCCAGTCAGAGGAGTGACTGGAAGAGTGGACTGCAAAGCCACCTAACAAAGAAGCTGATTTAGTGCAATGAGTAGGTGTCACAGCAAAGGATAAACTTCAGTGAGGTCTTGTGGCCACCCTTGGTGTGAGGAGAGAGAAAAATCTTGGTGTTTTTTTGTGGGTTTTGGTTGTTGGGGTGTTTATTGGAGGGAGGTGGTGGTGGTAGTGGGATGTTGCTGTTTCATTGAAATACAGAGTCCCCAGAGTGTGCTCACACAGGTAGTTAACAAAGCATTCAAATCGGAGCTCTACCGTTTCCCTGGAGTCGACAGCTTGTGGGTTGTGGTGGGGCTTTTTTGGGTGGGTTTTTTGTTTTGTCTCCACGCAGGGAGGATGTCTTTTTGTCAAAATTTCTTTCTTGCACTAAACTGGAAGATTAACACAAACTGGTTAATGTGGAACATGTGATTACTCTGTGGTTGGATTGAAAGCCATTTCCGTCCTTTTCCAATAACATCTGCTGTCGCTGAAAAGGCCAGCACATACGGTGACAGACACGTGGACGGCGCTGACTCTGGAGGCAGTTCTGGGGGCTGGTACTCTTGAAGCAGATTTTGAGATGTAGCTGATGGTTTGGAGTTGTCCAGGAGTTTAGACTTACTCCATGCTCTTTTTTTTTTTCCTCCCCAGCTCTCATTGCAGGAGGGGCGGTGGGCCTCCTGTTTGCTGTCTTCCTGATCCTCCTCTTAGTCTATCGCATGAAGAAAAAGGACGAAGGCAGTTACGACCTTGGGAAGAAACCGATCTACAAGAAAGCCCCTACAAACGAGTTCTATGCTTAAAGCTCAGCAGCACCTTGTGCCCATCAGGGGACAAACAGACTGTATGGAAACACTGTGCCCTCAGATGAGATGTGCTGAACAAACGCTCTTTTTGGATTGAATTTCAAAGTGACTTTGAGAAAAAACAAACTTCCTACGTGACCCTTCCCATCCCGCTCAGCTAACAAGGGCCCAATGAAATACAAAGAGTCTGAAAAAAAAACCTCAGTGTATTTTTCTTTTTCTAAAGCTAGTGTAAAAAGAGTAAAGATGCCAAATTTTCTGCTTGGTTTTATAGAGGGTATATAAACACAAAACAGACTGTATGGAAGCAAACACCATGTGTTTGCATCCAGTGTGCCGTGCTCAGATTGGCTGCTTCTATAGAAGATGGCTTTTTTTATAAACTTTGCTAATAGATGTCTTGCAGCAGGCTGTTGATGTGAAGCAGTTTTGTGGAGAACTATTTATGAATCTCTTACACTACAGATAATGTTGCCTTATCAGGGAGTAAAAGGCCCATACGGGCTCAAAATCCCTGGATGCCATAAAGGGCCTATGGGAATGTCTTCCCCAGGAGACTTCTGTCTCTTCCTGTCGGCCCCAGGCAAGGGTCATTCGTCCATGAAATCAGGACAGCCAGTTTTCTTTGGCCATGACGACACCCTTTCCTTGCCTTCAGTCCCTTACCTTTTTTTAAGGGTTGCTTGTAGGGTTTTTTTATAACAAAATTTTAAAGAAAATAGCCTAATGTTTATATAAAGTTTGTAGAAATTGTTTTGAAATAATAAAAAAAAAAATCTACTTTTTTAATTTCCTCAGATTTATTTTTTCAATCCCTTTGTGTTTCCTTTGGCCGGGCATTTCTCTAGAGATGTTGTTTTATATGATTCATATTCTGAACTGAAGCAGAGTTAGCTACAGTGTGTTACAGGTTTCTTCTAGTTCTATAGCAGCTACTGTAGAGGGTAAAAGATATTTATGGTTTTTCCATAACTTTTTTAGGATTTGATTTTTTTGTTTGTTTGTTTAAATAGAATTATTTATAGTTTCTGAAATGGCTGCTCTTCTCATTTGGTAACTTTTATCCTTTTTATGTAAAACACTAATATAATGAGTCTCTGTGAAAACTATTTAAGCTTTATTCTGTGAATTTTAATTATAAATTCAAGGCAATAACTTCTAGGATTAATCTGTATGCAAAATTGGATTCATAATGTGATTGAAGTAGGGAAAAGATGAGAGTATTTCTAGCCTGTAATATTATAATCAGTCCTATAGAGCTATATATTATATATTTTACGGAGAAATACACAGTTAAGAGTGCAAAGGCTGGAGTTAATTCTTCAGCAGCCCTGCTGTGTGTAAGAGGCTTGATCTCGTTTGTACTGCTGTTTGTCCAGTGGGCTCGTGCTAGGGACGGCAGCTGGGAGCAGCCCGAGCCCTGGGGCTCCGTCGCCGCGTCCCGGGCGGTGCCTGGAAGCAGGCCGCAGCCGGTGATGTGCCAGGTTTGATCCTCGTGAGTTGGAGCGGAGATCCCCATCTGTGTTCTGGGGTTGCTTTTTGAAGCAAGCGTTGGAAGCTCGCAGTACAGAGAAAATAACTCCTTGTTTTGGGGGCTGGCTGCGCTGCAGAGTCCCCTGCGGCACTGTGCCGAGTACCTGCCTCTTGCGGAAGGCTGGCTTTGGTAGCTAGAAGTCTGCCTCGGTGGCAACTCCCAGCTGGAAGCACAGAGCTTTCATAGACGGCTGGCTCTGAACCTCCTGCGGAGGGTTTTTCTTAATACATTATGTACATAGCTCCTACCTCTACTGAGAGTTAGACCAATTCCCCCAGCGCTCCTAGAGCGAAGCGTAACGTGCGTGTCCGATGCCTCTGTTTCAGGAAGGCGTTACAGAACTACTTTGTGCAAGTCGTGTCCTACTGCAGCTCTCCGAATCTGGTGTGGTTTAAGACAAAATCCAAGTGTGGGTCCCTAAACTGCGTAACTGGGTAGGCAGCACAAAACCAGACGGTTGCGAAGGCTGATCAGAAATCTCATCGACCCCTGAAGCCTCCTTACCAAGGCTTTGTTGTAGGCTTGAGGCCAAATTCGTAGAGGCGCTAGAACAAAGAAATTCAGCTTCAGCCAGTGGCAGCTGCTTCTCGGAGCTAGGCGGGCGAAGTGGAGATCGCAGGGGAGCCATGCATTGAGACATCGCGCAAGAAGAGTTTTCCCAAGGCTCCTCCTCCAGGTTGACTCACTTGCTTGGTGCCAGTCCAAGTGTGTTTGGGGAAACTGCGGGCTCTAAAAACTGCACAAAGGTCACTGTAGACTGGGAAGGGGAGAGGGAGGATTTTACTGCCTATGGACAGCGCTGCCAGGAAGGCGGGAGCGGTGTCTGGTTCTCGGGATATTTAGATTCTCTTGTGTAATTGCTCTTGGGTATTTTCCACTGTTACTGATTTTTTTTTTTTTCTCAAATAAACTGGTACTTTCTAAAATTGGCTTTTTGGGACTGTTTCTGATCGGAAATTACTTTTGGGAGCTGGGTAACAGGGAGCTCATGTTTGTGTAACTTCTTGGTTTACCGAAGGGGGAGGCACGCTGGGATCTGGCTTGGCGGTGGCCTGCAGCTCAAAGGGGCTTTGTCAGCTGGTCCCGAGCTGTCTTCAGTATCTGAGCAACAAGTGACTCCTCTAGGACCAGCGCCACTGGGTTTCTGGAGCTACTGAAGCTCCTCCAGGCAGGTAAAGCAGATACAGCATGGCATGAGGAGGTGAGTCTATCCTTTGGTGATCGGTTTTCTGATGATGCTTTGAGGGGGCTGTCTCCTTGCAGCCAGAAGGGACAGAGGGAGGTAGAAGATGGGCATGTGCATGTCCCCTGATGACAGCAGCACGTTCCTGTGCCCTCAAGCACAGGGGGGGCAATGTGCGGAGAGTCTTGCTCGACCAAGTTTCGAGCCAACGCTGTTTAACTGATGTGGGCCTTCAAGTGGGGGTAGAGCTGTTTCAGCTTCCCTGGGATCAGCTGCTCTGGGAGCAAGTTCACAGGTGACTTCATGCTGGTTTGGAGTAAAGCAGGTCTTCTCTAAAGCAAGACCTGGAGGAAGCTGCTGCTCCTCCAAGCCCCTCTGCTCTGACAGCTTGGTGCTCTCAAGGGATGGGACCCGTCTCCGTCTCCCTGGGCACGTGGGAGAGGGCGGGCTGTGCAGAGAGCAGGGCTGCTCGCGGGGAAAAGTGCCGAGTCTCCTAAGAAGTGCTGTATTTAAATGGATTATCGTCCTCGAGAAAATCTAATTCCCCTTTCCCTGGTGGGAACTCCGGGTGGTTAGGATTAGCAGGGATGGAGGAAACAAATTAGGACTAGTACACAGGCTCCCTCGGGGGTGAGGGAGTAGCAAACACTTGCTCTGCTCCTTGTTGCCTGGTCCGTCACCGGTGTGGCTCTCAAAGGTCCTCTGAGAATCTGCTTCTGGTGCCAAGAAGCAGCCATGTGCTCACAGGGCTGATCTTTGCTCCGTGGGAGCTGCTGTTTGTCAGTAAATCGGTGACATACGCCCATGATCTTCATGTTCTTGTGCCTGGTGTGGCTGCGACAGGTTCTTGGACGTGCTCCTTGGAACAACGTATGTTTGGTTTTTTTGTTTTGTGTTTGGTTTAGGTTTTTTTTCTTTCTCTCCTGGGCTTCATGTCTCGGTTGCAAGAATCCCGTGTACTTTCCAAAACCGCCCTCAGCGTAAAAGCGCCTTGTTTTTGCAAAGCAATCTGGACGGGTACTCTGCAAATCCCCAGAGTGCAAGCCTGGCTGCCTGCCCGTGCTTGCAGAGCTGCGGTTCCTGGGATGGACTCGTCACTGTTCTCCCTCTGTTCTGCCTTTCTGCCCTCCCTGGCCAGCCTGCCTGTATCCGGTGTTAACTGACGGCCGACTCACACTAACGCCTCGTGAATTCTTGGTCTTCAGCTCTGACCCCTGAGATGACACTGAAGTTGTTTTTCCTCCTAGCGCTGCTCTGGTTTTAAAACCAAAACCCTGCGGACCTGCTTCGCCTGGCTTGAAAATAGCTGGAACCCTCCTGGGTACTGATGTGATCAAGTGGCCACGGGCAGCTCTGCCCTTCCCAAACTCTTCCTAGCAGGAGGGGCTCAGCGGAATGAGCGGAGGAGCTGGAAGATGAAGTGTAACCTTGTGGATCCCCTTTACTTTACGGCTTCCGGGGAGTGTTGAGGTGGAGTTCATGGGTGTTTGAGTCCCTTGTTTCACAGGGTGAGCTGTGGTGCTGGGGTTGGGTGCTGTGCCGTGCTGTGTGCCAAAGAGGTGCTGAAATGAGTCACGGAGATGGTGTGCAATAGTGTTGGTGATTGCGGTGCCTGTCCTCAGCACCTCTAACGCTCCAGAGGGGCACAGGGCACCTACCTCTCCAGGTAGGACACCCAGACTGCCCGCAGAGACCATGGAGTCCGGGAGGGGACAATTCCTGGCCCCCCGGAGACACGGTGTTTCCCATGAACTTCCCCCAGCCCGCTGGGTGCTGGGCAGGGTGCACAGCTTGGCTCCCTGTGGCTGCAGGCAGGGGACAGGGCGAGCAGGGAGTGCCCAGGGGATGGGGGTCCATCCCAGTGCAGCCCTCCTCTGCCCGCTGTGGCTGGAGGGCACCAGCGGGGGTCACTGGGCTCCCTGCTCGGCTGGGCGAGCCGGGGCTGTGCGGAAGGTAACGGGGCAGGTTGTCCTCCGGGCTAGGGCCGGCCGGCTGAAAACCTTCCTCCTTCGTTATCACTGGGTGCAGCTGACCCTTCGCTGCAGGGATATTCCTATCGTTGGGGCTAAACCCCTTCAGCTCCTCCTTTGCCTTCCTCTGTCCCATCTTGCTTGGTGTGCCAGCTGTGGTGCAGGCGGTGCTGCCCACAGGTCTGGCATCCTTGGGGTGCTGAGCCCATCACGCGTGCCAAAGTGGCTCCTCGAGGGTTGTATTTTGGACGGTCTCTGAGGAACGGGGAAGCTGGGATGCTCGCTGCCGCGTGATGGAGCAGCATTGCCCACGCAGGCTAACAAGAAACACCCTGTGGATGAGGAGGGTGGGTTTTTCGCACCAGCAGTTGCACTTGGGGTGTAGCAGCGCTGTTCTGGGTTTTGACTGCACCCTCAGTAAGTTTGCAGATGACACCAAGTTGGGCGGCAGTGTTGATCTGCTGGAGGGTAGGAAGGCTCTGCAGAGGGACCTGGACAGGCTGGATCAATGGGCCGAGGCCAACTGTATGAGGTTCAACAAGGCCAAGGGCCGGGTCCTGCACTTCGGCCACAACAACCCCGTGCAGCGCTACAGGCTTGGGGAAGAGTGGCTGGAAAGCTGCCTGGCGGAAAAGGACCTGGGGGTGTTGGTCGACAGCTGGC